GCCCTCTGCCCGCCCAGCCTGGACTCTTCCCAGGGTGGGAACTGGGGCAGGATGCAGAGGCCTCAGGCCCTGCGGCAGGCCCCTAGGGAATCAGAAAGTTGAGATCCTTGAATATTTCATCAGCCCTTCAGCTTCCAGTTGAGGAGGCAGCCAACTAACAGCTCATGGATAATTTATAGCCTTGACAGAGAATTTGGAGGTGCGGAGGGGGTGAGGCTGGCAGGAGACCCCACCAGACTGCCAGTCAGAGAACTGGAGAGAAGCCAGCAGGATCCAGGGAGTGAGAAACAGAAGCAGGGGTGGGGGGAAGGAGCTCCAGGGCCAGAGCCCTGTCCATTTTGTTGCCTACCAGTTTATGTGTAAGTAAGTAACTCGAATGGGTTATCAAAAATCATTGTGCTGAAGGTTAGAATCGTGTTACGCTTCTCCTACCCTGTCTCCGTGGCAGGGCGCAAGGCTTCATTTGAATATAACATTAAGAGAATGTAGGAGCCAGCCGTGTGGTGCAGCATGTTAGGCTGCTGCCTGCAACATCAGCATCCCGTAGAGCACCAGTTCCAGTCCTCAGCTGCTCCACTTCCAAAGCAGCTCCCTGCTAATGCACCTGGGAAAAACAGCAGAAGGTGGTCTCCCAAAATGGGCCCCTGCCACCCACAAGGAACTCCTGCATGGACTCCTGGCTTCAGAAGATCTGTCATTCTTTCCAGAAAATAAATCGTTAAGAATAAAATATCATGAGGCCAGCACCGTGGCAGAGCAGGTAACACAGTTGCCTACAGTGTTGGCATCTCATATGGATGCCAGATACACTCCTGGCTGCTCCACTTCCCATCTAGCTCCCAGCTAATGTGCCTGGGAAAGCAGCAGGGGACGGCCCAAGTGGGTAGGCCCCTGCACCCACATGGGGAACCAGAAGAGACTCCTGGCTCCTGACTTTGTACTGGCCCAGCTCTTCCCATTGTAGCCATATGGGGAGCAAACCAACAGATAGAAGATCTGTTTCTCTGTCTAACTTTTAAACAAAATAAAATCCTGGGCCCATCACAGTACCCTAGTGACTAAAGTCCTTGCCTTGCATGCTCCAGGATTCCATATGGGCACCAGCTCATGTCCCAGTGGCTCCACTTCCCATCCAGCTCCCTGATTGTGGCCTGGGAAAGTAGTTGAGGATGACCCAAAGCCTTGGGCCCCTATATCTGCATGGGAGACCAAGAAGAAGCTCCTGGCTCCTGGTTTTGTATCATCTCCGGCTGTTGCGGCCACTTGGGGAGTAACTCAGTAGATGGAAGATCTTCCTCTTTGTATATCTAACTTTACAATAAAAATAAATAAATACTTTTAAAGTACATTTTATTTAAGATTTATTTGCTGTGCCAATCTGAAGCCAGGAGCCAGGAACCTCCTTCAGGTCTCCCACATGGGTACAGAGTTCCAAAGCTTTGGGCCATCCTCGATTGCTTTCCCAGGCCACGCTCTCCCAGGCCACAAGCAGGGAGCTGGATGGAAAGTGGAGCGGTCGGGATTAGAACTGGTACCCATATGGGATCCCAGCATGTTCAAGGCGAGGACTTAAGCCGTTAGGCCACCGTACCGGGCCCAATAATGTAAAGCCTTAAATAACATGTCAAGGGACATCTGTGGGGCTGTGAGGCCCTCTGTTGAGTCCCACCCATGCTCTGCCTCCACCCCCAGTCCCCAAGAGGTGTGCAGTGAGAAAGAACAGATGGCCCACCAGGACGGGCTGAATCTTGCCCCTCATTTTACCCCCAAGAACATGATGTTGTGCTTTTCTTCTAAACAGGACACGTGGGAAGGGTGACCCAAACTGGTCAGTGTCACGGTGTGCAGGCCCCCCTCTCTGCGTGCAACCCAGCTTAGTGTGTCTCGCAGCCTCACAGGGAGTCAGAGGGTCAAATTGATTGTGCATGTGAGGGAGGACATACAAACAAGCAAATCCTCCACTTTACCTCCATGTCCCCACCTGAGTAATGGGCACATCAGGTGCTCCCATCCTAAGGGCTATTTGAGGGGACAGGGAGATACTATCCAGGCACCTGGCGCCAGTGGGGACCTAGGCAGGTGGTGATTATGGGGTGATGTGGCCATGGGTCGGGCCTAGGGTTGGGGCTGGGGCTGGTTCAGTGGCCCCCAGCACACTCCCACCCAAAGCCCAGGTCATCCTGGAACTTGGTCATGAGGGCAGCTAGGCAGGACTGTGCCAGCCTGGCTGAGTTAGCCCTGGCCCTGGGGGCCCAGCCTACACTCTCTGGCCTCAGTTTCCCTATTTGTGGAATTGGGGCCAGCAGCCAGAACTGACTGTGGTGAAGACACTGATGTGGACCGATCTGGGGGCGTGGACCCTGGGGCGCCCAGTGCATCCAGTCAGGGTGAACTGGTGTCCTCAGGGCCACTGCCTTCAGATGTGGGGAGGGACGCTGTGTGTCCCCAGGGAAAACACTTTTCTGTTGTACCAGGGTGAGACTGCAAGGCCCCTGATCTAGGAATCTAGGAGGGGAATTTCTTCCACTGGAATTTACCGGGGTTTTTGTAACTCTTGGGAGGACCATCCTATCCCCCCTACCCAGGACACAGGAAGTGACTACTCACAAGGCACCCCAGCAGCTCTTGCCCCAGGCCCCCTAAGATCAGGTCTAATTCCTGGGGAATGACAGGGAGAGAGATTTGTCACCTGCTTCTCTCCCTCCTTCCTTCCTGCCATTTTCTTTCTTTCCCTGAGCAGCACAGATTTAGGGAGGCAAGGTCCAAACCCTGCCACCAAGCACTCCCATGAACAAGGGATAAGTTGTTTCTGGACTCTCAACCTCACTGGGGGCAGGTTAGGAGCAGGGAGGTGCTGTTTGTCCATACAGCCTGGCACCCATGGGCACCTAGGACCCTGCGATAGCTAAGTTCTCCTCGGGATGGGGTCTCTAGGACAACTCTGAGTCTATTCCTGTTGCACAAGGGTGGTGTCCACAAGCCCCCTTCTCCCCACTGTGCTAGGATCCTAGGACCATGAGGTGGTATAAGTGAGGTGTTGGGGCAGAGGGAGGAGATGGGCTCAGCAAGCCAGGTGGAGGAGTGGAGGAGCAAGGGCATGTGGACTGGGTGGGGCTGGGAGACTGGGCAGGAGGGCCCCAGAGGGACTCGGTCTCACCGGTTTGGGGAGCTGGCTGGGCAAGGGGAGACGCAGGCTGGCAGTGGGGAGGGGTGGGAGGAACCAGCAGCTGAGTAAGGGCCCAGAGAAGCAATGCACATATATGTACACAGGGACACACACATGGGTCAGCACCTTTGGTCGGTGGCTTCTCACCTCTGAACCCCTCTGCCTCCTCCCCCGGCCCTATGATCTATCATTCCCTGGTGTTTCCCCACTGCCAGCACACAAGCTCCCCCAGGGCAGGTGACTGTTCTATTGGGGTCACTTGTGCATGCCCAGCATCTAGCAGGTGCTCAGTGGGTGAGTGCTGATGGAGCCAATGGGGGTTGCCCCCAGGTGGTATTGGGGACACCTTCAGACCCTCACATGTTCACCTGAGCACATGGGCTCTCTCTCGCAGGCCCACGCCCAGCTGTCAGATTCCAAAGCACAGACTCATGACAGTGCAAGTCTGCCCAGACGCGCTCCAGCACACCCCAGACAGGCAGGGCTGCAATGAGCACTGGCAACACACAGCCCGAAAGGGGCAGGGTGGAGTGGAGCCACCCTAGCAGCCGGGAGCTGGGAGACCCACCTAGAGCAGGGACGTGGGTGGAGGGAACGGTGAGGTCACCAAATCCCAGCCCGAACCCAGCCCTTACCCCCAGAAGCAGACTCTGGCCTTTCCAGCCCTAGGGAAGGCGCTGGTGTTGGGATGGTGGGGGCTGGCGGAGGAGGAGTCCCCTGCGCAGGTGCCAGGTCCCCTGGCACATCTGAGAGGTGTGCAGGTATGTGGCCATGAAACTCGAGCTTCCCAGCGTTGACTCTACCCTCCTACAGGAAGCTGCCTCTACCTCTTGCTTTTCCGAGAGACCAGCAGTGTGGACAGTGGCAAAGAACTGGCGCCTAGCTGCCTGGGCACCAGTGCCCCCAGCCCTACTCCAGAGGCCCCTTTGGCGTCCCTGCTGTGGGAAAGGGAGGGTGCATCACAGCAATCAGTGACAGCTACTGGGTGCCATTCTTGTCCTCCCTTTCCCAGAAATGATGCAAGACTGGGCAAAAGGGGTCCGGCTGTCCCATCGCACCCCAAATGCCCAAATCCTCAGGGCGTGATCCTTAAGGCTCCTCTTGATGCTGAGCTGAGGCCCCAACTCTCCCTGGAGTGAGGAGATGATGATGAAGAGCCAGAGAAGGCAGGGTGAGGCTGCTCTGCCTGGCTGTAGGGAGTCCGGGTTAGAAAATGCCCAAAGAACACAAGAAACAAATGCCCTCAGTCCTTTGACATGACGCTTCCCACCCTGGAAACCTGACACCGCAATAGTCCCAGGAGTCACAGGAAGGCTGTGTCCTCACGCCCCCTGGTGGCCAGTCCACACCTACGCGCCGCTCACTCAGACTGGGGTGGGGTCAGGGGTAGTCTGCCAGCCAGACTACAGCTCTGCCCACTGCACTGTAGAAACCGAGACAGGACCCCAGGAGCTGTGATTCATCCGACAATACACTTTATTGAGCACCACTGTCTGTGCGCCCTGACCCCTGGACTTCGGTGTGGTGCTCTCCATGTGTGCCTGTTCCCTTGCAATTCCCACTGAGCTTCCAGCCATCAGCTGCATCCCTCACCTGCAGGAGAGTGTCCATCCGAGGAGCAGCAGAGCCCCTCCAGCCTGCGTAGTGTCCTGCAGCACCACCAACGAGGCAGGACACAGCCTGGATGGAGCCGTACTCAGAGGTGGGCCAGGATCAGCCGTGTCCCTTTGAGGTTTGTAATAAATATTTCTGTCTGCTGCCCAGATTGGTGAGGGCAGGGCCGCTGAGTCCAAGCTTCCCAAGCTCTTGGGTGCAGAGTAAGGTGGGGTCCTTCTCACGCTAGTTCCGGTTCTGGTTCTGGAAAGGGCGGGAAGCAACTTTGGTGTCAGCCCCACCTCCCAACAGGTGTCTGGGCGCTGTCCTGGCAGGAGGGGCGAATAGGCATGGCCAGGTCCCGACTGGTCCTGGCTCCAGGAGAAGACTGGCTCACAGGCTGGGCATCCCAAAAGGAGGGTTCCCAACCTCCATCCCGGGCTGCATGAGTCCCACCCCCTCACCCACAGGGACCCATCACTGACCAGCCTCAGCCTCGTCCCCCTTGGCATCCGGCTCCTGCCACCAGTCGGCATACAGGCCCTCCTCATAGTCACCTTCCCCTTCAAACTCAGCATCAGACGGGGGCTCCTCGGCCTCAGGGGACGGCCCCGGCTCTTCCAGTTCCATCTACGTTACAAGAGAGAAGAGGGGATGCCAGTCTAGATGGAGCTCTGCCTGGCCCAGGGGACCTCTGCTCCTACTTTCATTCTCCAGGCTCAGGCCCCCTTGTCCAACAGCAAGGCGAGGCTCCACCCACAGGCATCTGCAGCCCTGCCTTCCAATCCTAAGCCTCCCAGTGAGCTACCCAGTGCACCTGCTGCTTCCCGGCCAAGGCATCTCTCCCAGTGCCTGGACAGCTTTCTGCTGCCTGCTCCAGGATGATGCCCACGCTGACCACGGGGCCAGTGGTGCTGGCCTCTACAGCAGCACATAGAGTAAGCTGCTTGGGGAAAGCCACAGCGCCTTTCATGAACTTCCCCCAGCCCCAAGTCGGGAGCTTGGTAAACAGCAGGCAGATATCACCTCCTCCTCACCCCCCAGCGCCTATGCCACTGCTTATAAATCAAGTGCTTTGCACACTCGCTCACTGTAGCTGGAACACATGGGTGTTCTGAATCAGCTAGGACTCTCTTGGCGGCTTTCCAGCCAGGCTGCTGCATCTGAGCACTGACATGGTGGGCCCCGTGTCTGATGGACTTGGGGGAAAGGGGTAGCACTTAGCAGCAGCTCCTGGGGGAAATGCAAGCTGTGAGAGCTTCACTCAGAGTCACATGGTCCATCCCAGGGAGCCCCACAGGCATTCAGTCATTCACTTCTGGGTTTGTTCATTCACATGGCACAGTAGGGAGTGGCCTGTCCCCTGGTCCAGAGCACAGGAGCCTGGCCACCGAGAGGCAGGGGAGAGAAGATGAAGGACGGACGGACCTCTCCTGCTCCCCCTGCTGGCCGGACTAAACGCCTGCACACACAGCAGCCGCTTGCTCACCTCGTCGTCCGCCTGCAGGTACATGTGTGTGAACTCCAGCAGCTCCCGCAGCTCCGAGGTCTGGTTGTGGTAGAGTACAGCTTCCTGGAAGAGGACAAGGGCAGGGGGTGAGCTGGGCTCTGCTGCCAGATGGCAGGGAGACAGGCCCAGCGATCTGGGTCCACTGGGCCTCTTTCACATCAGGGATGAGAAGCAGGGGCTGTGCTCACTTCAGCAGCACATATACTAAAATTGCAGCGAGAAGCAGGGGGCCGATCCAAGGTAGAATGAATAACTGTAGGTGCTTGAAGTACTGTGTTAAGTAGTATTCTCAGTCAAGGAGAAAGAGTGCCCCAAATCGATTAGCCATACCTGCCAGGAAGAAAGAGCACCCCAACTGACTAGCAATGTCTGCCACTGACAAGGAAGGTGGCTATGGCCCCAAGTGCCCTGCTGTCAGCCTTACCCAAGATCCCAGATGGTTTCCTCAGCTGATTTGGGATAGGAGGTGGGGGGAGGTCCTTGGGGAAGAAGCGCAGGGGAGGAGGGGAGCAGGCAGACCCAGACCTGTGCTGGTGAAGTGGGCAGTACCCCAGCCCCATGCAGACTTGAAAAGAATGGGAGATGGTTCCGGGACCCCAGAGCAGAGGGGCTGAGCTCTGGAACCAAGACTCCAGTTGCAAGCCACATTCTTCCTTTTTCTCTTCCCGGCTTTTGAGGAGGCCAGTTTGGATTGGTTCTGATCGACAGGAGCCTACAAGGGCGGTGCCCACCTCGCGTGGCCGGAAGTCGTCCTCCTCCAGGCCCCAGCGCGCACGGTGGAATCGGTAATACACCAGGTTCTGCTGCATGACGCTGTCCCCGGGATCGAAGAGCATGTAGCTGGCGGCGCTGCGGGCGGCTTGGCGCACGTCGTTCACTGCAGCAGCACAGGTGTGGGGTGTGGCCCTAGCACCCCCAGCACACACACACACACACACACACACACCCTGCCCCCCGCCTCTGCCTCCCACCCCCCAAGGATCTTCCCTAGTCCGGCAATGACACCAGCCAGACCAGTGTGTTTTAGGCAAATGCCAGAAAGCCTCACCATGCTGCCACGTATAGGTCTCAGGCATGGAGGAGTGAAGTTGCTTGCCCAAGCTGGCACAGCGGGAGAAGGCTGGGGCAGTGGCCTGACCGTCCACACCCATGAAGGGTCTCCTGCCTGTCCCTCCCCACCCCCACCCTCAGCCGCTCCTCCATCCAGCTGCAACCTCTCTCTCAATCTGGGCACCTCTCTGTTGTGGGAAGCCTGGGGCTGTCCACTTGACTGTAGCATCTCTCTCCAGAAGGACAAACCCCAGGTCCTGGGCCACTTTTTTTTTTTCATCATGTGAGTAATGGAGCTCAATGTCCACATCTGAAAGTGGGCTCAGCCGTGCGAGAGGGAGGCGCTGGCGAGAGGGTCAGGTGAGACAGGGCTTGCTTGCTAACAGGTGACTAGCAGGTGTGGGCTTCCTACCCCCTCCCCCCCCACCCCAGGAGACTCACACTTGTAGTAGGCAAACTGCAGGTAGTGATACATGGTGGCCACAAACTTGTCCACGAAGTAGCCGCCCACATTGGGGGTCAAGTTGGTCTCACAGTCCACCTTGCACTGCAGGGACTCTGCAAAGAGGTCTGGGGGTGGGAGGCACAGGTGAGGAGCTGGCCTTGCGCTGACAGCTCTCCCCTCCTGCTGTGGGGCAGGAGAAGCTCAGGTTAACCCTGCCTGGAGGACCTGGAGCTCAAGACTTCAAGACAAGGTATGACTTTCCACTACAAACTGTTCTGCACACACCTTGCTTCTCACCCTTGCACTTGCACGGCCCTCTGTGAGCCCAACCTTGGTGGGCCCCTTTAGGACGTCCCCTCTGCACCTGGATCCAGCACCTCCCACACCCAGGCCTCTGGCTGCTCTGACCCAGGGTTCCCTGAGGTCTGAGGTACCAGCAAGGCCTATAGGGTTCCCAGCCCTCAGGCAGGTGTGCAGGCCATGTGGATGAGAGGCCTGCCCAGGTGTCTGAGCGGCAGATACCTGCGATGGCTGGGTAGAAGTCCTTGAAGTCCACTTGCTCATGGGCCCCCTCGCAGCCGGCCAGGCAGCGGGCAAATACAGCCAGGTACTCGGCCAGGGCCCGCTCCATGTCCTCCGTGCTGCCCCGGAAGTCGCCGCTGTTGTAGAGCTTCACGGCCCGCAGGAACACGGCCTGGGGGAGCGCGTGGTGGGGGGGGCGGGATGTCAGGGTCAGTGGGGTAGGGATGGGGACCTGCCAGGACCCGTATCCCTGCCCCGCACCCGCACCTCATAGGGCTGGGCCTCTAGGTCGGTGAGGGCCTCGTCTGGCACATCCAGCATGCCCCGGTAGTAGTTGAGGTATTTGGCGGTCAACTCATGCTTCGGGTTCCTCTGGAGAAAGGTGTAGGCGGCGGCCACGGCCTTTTCCAGCCGGTTGGCCTGCGGGGTCAGGCGGGGAGAGAGGCGAGGACAGCGGGGTGAGCAGGTGAGCAAGGCAGCCAAGGGGTCGGGGCGTTCCGGCGCGGTACGGCCAAGGCGGGCGGGGCGTGCGCACCTTGAAGAGCGCGTAGTGCAGGTACTGGTAGGGCAAGCGGCTCTGGAAGTCGCGCAGCAGCTGGCGCGGCGGGTAGGGCATCTGGAAGGCGGGCAGCGTCCGCTTGCAGCGCCGCAGGCAGGCGGCGCGCTCCAGGACGTGCCCGAAGAGGCGCAGCTCGCGCGCCCAGTCGTCGTGGGCGCCGGCGGCGTCGGGCTCGGGCGGCGGAGGCCGGGTGGCCGCGGAACCGCTGCAGTTGGCGTGGCAGAAGGCCTCGCTGTCGCGCAGCAGCCGGTGCAGCCGCAACGCCGCCTCCAGGTAGCGCGCGCTCTCGCGCCAGCTCTCGCCCTCGTACTGCTCCAGCGCGTGCCCGTAGGCCGCCGCCAGCGGCATCAGGTCCTCGGGCGGGAAGCCGCGGAAGCTGTACTTCTCGTACTGCGCCCCGGCGCTGCCCAACAGCAGCCACAGCAGCCCCCACGCCGCCTGAGCCATGCCCCCGCCGCGCCCGGAGCTTCTGCCCAGCTCCTAGGGCGGCCCGGCCCCGGGGGCGGACGGGCCGGCGCGGGGCGGGCGGGCCTGCTGGGTCTTAGCGCCGGGCACTGGGGAGAGTGCCCCTTCTTTGCAGAGGGGACCCTGGAGTGTCCTGACCCCTCCCCTCCGTTGAGCCGATCTCCTGCTCTTGGGAGGTGGCGGGTGGCCGCCTGAGACAACGTTTCACACCAGAGATGGGGAGCCTAGGAAAGCCCCTCCCCTGAGCATTGCACCCCCTTAAGCTGACGGAGCGGAGGGAGGGGCCACCAGGACCTGGTCCCTTACCGCCCCCTTCTGTGCCCCCCACTTGTCTCACCCGGCGCACGTAGGGAGGCACTCCTTGGAGGGCCTCCCCGCATCACCAAGTCCTTCTTGCTTTGGGGGACACAGCTGCCCCTCCCTGAAGAAGCCTCCCAGGGGAGGTGGTCGGTTGGGGCCAGTACGCTCCAGGCCTCACCTGGCCCGGCCTAGATTTGGGGGGACCTGGTGGGGGTTGACAGCGCCAGAAGGCTGGCTTTAGGACCCGGGGGCTCCGGAAAAAGACACTGAACTTTTTCTTTCTGTTTTTGAAAGTCCACTTGGACTTCTCATCTTTCCCGGGCCTCCTTCCCTGGCCAAGGCCTCAAGTCTCAAATCTCAGCTTCAGCCCCGGAGACGGGAGACCTGAGAGCGAAGAAGGCGAGCGGGGGTTGCGGGGTGCCGGGCACTGCATTCCTCTGGCGCCACGGCTCTCGGCCTCGCCCCCTCCTCCAATTCCTCCACCACCACCCACCCCGCCCAGCCAGCTCAGTCTCCCCAGCCCCCATTCCACGTGGACCAGCCAGGGCGGGCGTAGGGACGGACAGGAAGAGGGGGAGCCAGCTGGGGAGGAGGGGGAAGGCGGCAGGCGCCCGCGGTTGCCTCTCGGGCCCTCATTGCTGGCGGTCCTAGCAGCAGGCAGCATGTTCACCAAGGAGCCCCCCAGCTCCACCCTCCGCCGGCTCCCTCTGCTGCTACTGCTGCTGCAGGCTGTGGGCAGGGGGCTGAGCCGCGCCAGTCCTGCCGGGGCTCCCCTGGAAGATGTGGTCATTGAGCGGTACCACATCCCCAGAGCCTGTCCCCGGGAGGTGCAGATGGGGGACTTTGTGCGCTACCATTACAACGGCACCTTTGAGGATGGCAAGAAGTTTGACTCGAGGTAATGACCTGGGCACCCCAGACTGGCCACTTGTCCACTCTGAGTGCCGTGATGGCCTCTGCCCCTTATGAAGCTTTGCATCCCCTCAGTCACCCTGGAGTGAGCCCTCTAATCCCACGCAGCAGCCTGGGGTGCTCTGGGTCTGAAGATACCTTCTAGCCCCAGTTGCAAGCCCTCACCTCTCAGAGGTGCCCTAGGTGTCCTCATGGTGATGCTGGGATGAGGAGGGGTCCCAACGCATAGTGTTGGGGGCAGGCAAACCTTGGGGTGATCAGGGAGCCAGCCCTTTCTCCCAGCCTGACTCCCTTCCTGAGTCCCCAGTGACTGTGGCTGGACTAGAATGGCTTCTGGGGGCACATTCAACCCAGATCATTGCAGTGTGATTGCGGGCTGGTCTGGGGGGAGGGCAGAGGGGCCCTGTCTGTCTACGTGTCACGGCCATAGCTGTAACACCCAGGGCTCCCTCTCCAGGCCTCCTGGCACCCCTGCCTCCTCCATTTTAAGCTCCACCAGGCCAGTGCTGCTGCCCATGTTGCCGGCCTGGGGACTTTCAGGTACTGACCCCTGGGGGGGTGCCTTGTTCTCTGCCAGCCAGTTCCCTTGGGCTGCTGGGAGCGAGGCAGAGCTGTGTGCCAGCCTGGGGACACACTTTAAGTAGCTGTTTCATCCTCAAATATCGGTGCCACACTCGAAGGAGTTGGCCCTCTAAGACCCTTGCCCCCAGGAGACAGCTCAGCCCACACGAAGTTAGTGAGCATGACTGGCATACAGTAGGTGCTCAATAAGTACTCTGCAGCACCTTCTTATCCTTACCTCTCCCTTGCTGTCAGCAAGTAGAGGCGGCAGGCAGGCTCTGGCCATCTCAGGAGAATAAGCGCCCCCCCACACCCTGTCTCTTTGGAAGTAGCCAATTCCCTGGAAGTAGCCTACCCAGAGAGGTTCATACTTGCACAGGGTGAGTTCTGTGTGTGTGCACACCTGGGCACACCTGCACAAGTGTGTGATCCCAGGCAGAGGGAGCGCTGCCGTGGCCGTGTGTGCCCTCACCTTAGCCCACCTACCCCTTCCTGCCCCCAGCTATGACCGCAACACCTTGGTGGCCATCGTGGTGGGTGTGGGACGCCTCATCACTGGCATGGACCGAGGCCTCATGGGCATGTGTGTCAATGAGCGGCGCCGCCTCATCGTGCCTCCCCACCTGGGCTATGGCAGCATCGGTGTCGGTAAGGAGCGCCAGGCGGTGGGGAGGCTGGGGTCAGGGGCCCCAGGGTCAGAGATGTGGAAGGAGATGGCCCAAGGCTCCAGGCACAAGCGTCTGAGTAGTGGCAGATGTGCGGCTACCCCAACTTGCTGGAAGGCGGTGGGATGGGGGAGGGAGGCCCAGTAGGACCCTCTGAGTCCACTCCTGGCCGGGTCCTGCCTGAGCTGCTGTGCCCTCACAGCGGGGCTCATCCCCCCGGATGCCACCCTCTATTTCGACGTGGTCCTGCTGGACGTGTGGAATAAGGCCGACACAGTGCAGGTGAGCATCTTGCTGCGCCCGCCCCACTGCCCCCGCATGGTGCGGGACAGCGACTTTGTTCGATATCACTACAACGGCACACTACTGGACGGCACAGCCTTCGACAACAGGTAGGGGCTGGAGGGGAAACGTGTGGGGAGGGATGGAGTGCGGCGAGGACCATGACATGTAGTGGAGAGGCCGGGCCCCTCAGCACCACCTCTACCCTTCTGCAGCTACAGCAGGGGCGGCACTTACGACACCTACATTGGCTCTGGTTGGCTGATCAAGGGCATGGACCAGGGGCTACTGGGCATGTGTCCTGGAGAGAGGAGAGAGATCATCATCCCTCCGTTCTTGGCCTATGGAGAGAAAGGCTATGGTGAGCAGGGACTCTGGAGGCTTCTTTAAGGAAAAAGAAAACTAGGGCTCCATGCACAGTTGCTCAAGTTGTGCAGCCAGAGAGGTGGGAGGGGATGAAATGTAGCCAGACTCATCCCTGGCATAGATCAAGCCTTGCTTTGTTCTGACTCCAAGGCTCAGCTGGTGCTGGGCCTGGAAGGCAGGAGGAGGATCAGGAGAGGGAACAGCGGATGGGCAGGCATGCAGGAGAGCAGGGGCTGTGTCTCCTGCAAGCTCCCAGTCCTCCCAGGCTGTTGCCACCACCAGGCAGGAGGCCCAGTTCACTTCCAGCCCTGTCTCTTCCCCAGGGACCGTGATCCCTCCGCAGGCCTCACTGGTCTTCCATGTGTTCCTGGTCGACGTGCACAACCCCAAAGACAGTGTGCAGACGGAGACGTTGGAGCTGCCCCCGGGCTGCTCGCGCCGAGCTATGGTGGGCGACTTCATGCGCTACCATTATAACGGCTCACTGATGGATGGCACCCTCTTTGACTCCAGGTCAGGAGGGCAGAGGGAGGGGTTGGGCAGCCTGGGAAACCCATCCCCACCCTACCCGACTCCACCCTACAGGCAGCAGCTGGGCACCCTAGCTCACTCCTCCGGTGCTTTCTGCCCTGTACTGCAGCTATTCCCGCAACCAAACCTACAACACCTACATCGGGCAGGGCTACATCATTCCCGGGATGGACCAGGGGCTGCAGGGCGCCTGCATCGGGGAGCGCCGCAGGGTCACCATCCCCCCACATCTTGCCTACGGAGAGAATGGAACTGGTAGGGTTGTTCCTGAGGCTGCTAGTTCCTCCCTTTAGCTACCCGCTGTGCCCAGGGGGGTACTGGTTTCCATCCCATGTACCATCCCTGGCGGTGTGGTGAGGTGGGAGGTATGAAAGAGCAGAAGCAGTGTAGCCCCTGGAAGTAGAGACCAGGATCGGAGACCCAGCTGAGCTGGATGCCTCAGTGTTCTCATCTGTAAAATGGAACTCGCCATTGGGGCCTGCAGGGCCAGTCATTGGCAGGTGGCCAGGTGATGAGTGGAAAGGGGCTGATCTCCCCTGGGACGCCCTGCCCTCCCTGTTACGAGGAGAGGCTGCACAGGCATCTGGTGGCCTCTCCTGGGGCTCCCAGGGGACTCACTGGCCCCTTTCTGGCCTCAGGGGACAAGATCCCTGGCTCTGCTGTGCTCATCTTCGACGTCCACATCATCGATTTCCACAACCCTGCCGACCCAGTGGAAATCCAGACCCTGTCCCGGCCACCCGAGGCCTGCAATGAGACAGAGGCCGCCAAGCTGGGGGACTTTGTCCGCTACCACTACAACTGCTCACTGCTGGATGGCACCCATCTCTTCTCCTCGTGGGTCCAGGGCAGGGCCGGGGCCGGGCACAGGCGGGCTGTCCTCCCCACAGCACCTTCCTCCCCACTGTTCCCAGGGAGGCGAGAGGGGTCTGCACTCTGGGGAGGAGGGAAGGAAGGGCAGTGACTTTGGCTGCTGTTTCCTTTTCATGGAGGGGAAACGGAGGCAAGGAGGTGTGAGTGCTCCGGGCCATGCTTTGGGAGCAGAGGCGAGATGGGAGGGAGCCTGTGGCTGTGGGTATCTGGGCACCCCACTCGGCAAGGGTTGGTGTGGGGTGAGGACGGCCACTCACCTGAGACTTTGCCCTCAGCCACGACCATGGAGCCCCCCAGGAGGCCACTCTGGGGGCCAACAAGGTGATTGAAGGCCTGGACCGGGGCCTGCAGGGCATGTGTGTGGGAGAGAGGCGGCAGCTGGTTATACCCCCCCACCTGGCGCATGGCGAGAGTGGAGGTAAGGGCAGAGATTAGGGTCCCTAGCTTGCTGAGGCCCCATGGCTGGCGGGAGGACAGATGGGGGAGCCTTCAGGATGGTTTTGTGAGCAGCCCATGCCCCAGGCCCACAAAGGGGAGACTGAGGCTGTGGCAGTGGGCCCCCACCTGACAGAGGCCCTGTGGCCTCCTTCTGCATCCATAGCACGAGGCGTCCCTGGCAGTGCTGTGCTACGCTTTGAGGTAGAGCTGGTGTCCCGGGAAGACGGGCTGCCCACTGGCTACCTCTTTGTGTGGCATGAGGATCCTCCTGCCAACCTCTTTGAAAACATGGACCTCAATAAGGATGGCGAGGTCCCTCTAGAGGAGGTGGGTGAGGGCCCACTTCCCACTCCCAGCTGGGAGCCACCTTGTATGGTGCTGCTGGCCACCACGCATGTGCATGTCCCCCTCCGGCTTGCCTGTCCCCCTCCTGCTTGCCCGTCCCCCATGCTGAGTCTCCCAAACCCTGAGCTTCTTGTCTCTACCTGTGGTTTAAGCACCAGTGCTGCCTGTTCCTCTCCCAGCCCTGCCAGTCAATGTTCACTCCCATGCCACACCCCACACCCGCTCTTCTCACCGCCCATGGGGAGCCTGGAAGAGCTCCACCCCCGCTAGCCTCTCTTGGACTCCTCCCAGGGCCACCTATGCTGCTCCACCTTGGTGCTACCACTCCCCTACCCCCACTTTCTTCCTTCCTTGCCAGTTCTCCACCTTCATCAAGGCTCAAGTGAATGAGGGCAAGGGCCGGCTCCTGCCAGGGCAAGACCCCGAGAAGACCATTGGGGACATGTTCCAGAACCAGGACCGCAACCAGGATGGCAAAGTCACGGCTGATGAGCTCAAGCTGAAGTCAGATGAAGACCAGGAGCGGGTGCATGAGGAGCTCTGAGGGGTGGGAGCCTCAGACACAGTAGGCCCTGCCGGGGCAACAGTGCCCATGGGACTGGCCTCCCTGCCTGCCTGTGTGGTCCAGGAGCTAAAGGTGTCAGAAGACACCCTGGGCCCCTGCCTGCCCTGGAGGGAAAGCACAGCAGGGCAACCCTCCAAGCCACTACCCCAGCCTCTAAGCCCTTCCGAGTATAAGGCCTTCCAAAGCCAGCTCTGGTCAGCAGACAGGACCCCTGTCCCACCTCCAACTCCCGACTGGGCTGGGCTGTCTTCCCCCAGCTTCCTGTGTGTGCCTTGCCTTCCTGCCCCCTTTGTGTTGTGGCAGCTCCCAGGACACCCCTCTAGCCTTAATCCCTCAGCTGTGACTGGCTCCTGGGACAGGGGCAGCCCCCTCACCTGTCTGGCAGCTGGTCCTCCCCTCTTCTCCCCTTCCTCCTGGCCAGTGCCAGCCCAGGTGCTGGGGGTCAGCACTGGACTTTGGGTACCTTCCACCACTGGAGAAGGCGCCATCCTCCACGGAATCACTGAGCAGGGAAAGAGCCAAGAGGGCAAGGATACCTGCTTCGGGGTGCAGGACCAGGGAGTCCCTGGGTTTGGTGTTTCTTGGGTGGGTGGGGTGGGGGTGAGGTGGAAGGCAGAGCTCTACACATTTCAAGGGAAGCTGGTGTTAGATCCTTGTCCCTCCACAAATTAAACGATGAAAACAACCCTCTCGGGATGCTATCTGTTGCGGTGGGGGAGGTTGGGCCAGGTAAGACCCAGAGGTGGACAGAGTGAATGAGTAACCAGGGCCATGGTGGACAAGGCCTGGGAGACTGGGCGGTCCCACGTCTCTTTCTCCCCCAGCTGCCCTGGAGGGATCCAGCTGGTTCTGAACATTCAGGTCGGGGGGTGCGGGTAAGAATGGCGCAGATAGCACACTGCATTGGCCTCAGCCCTCTCTTCACCCATTCTCTTTTAACTTTTCAAGATTTATTTGAAAGGCTGAGCAAGAGTGTGAGACAAAGATCTTCTATCCGCTTCTATCCTCAGATAGCTACAACAACCAGGACTGGGCCAGGCTGAAGCCTGCAGCCTCTTCTGGGCCTCCCACATGGGTGGCAGGGGGCCAAGCACTTGGACCATATTCTGCTTTTTCAGGCATAATGAGCAGGGTGCTGGATAGGAAGCAGAGTAGCATGGGCTCAAACTGGCACTCTGATATGGGATTAATCCACACAATGCAGGTCCCCTATTTTCCTTTTAAATATTTATTTAATGAGTAGAGAGACTGGTGTTGTGAAGAAGTGGGTTCAGCTGCTGTCTGTATTGCAGGTATCCCATATGGGACCTGGTTTGAGTCCTGGCTGTTCTGCTTGTTATTCAGGACCTGGCTAGTGTGTCCAGGAAAGCAGTGGAGGGCAGCCCAAGCACTTAAACCCTGCACCATTGTGGGAGACCCAGAACCCTTGCTTTCTGACTTCAGCCTGGCCATTGCAGCCATTTGGGGAGTGAACCAGCAGATGGAAGACTTCTCTGTCTCTCTGAAAGTCTTCCTTTTTTTTTTTTTTTTTACAAGACTAAGTAATTTTTTTAAAAGATTTATTTATTTTGGGCCCAGCGGCGTGGCCTAGTGGCTAAAGTCCTCGCCTTGAACTTGCCAGAATCCCATATGGGTGCTGGTCCTAATCCCAGCAGCAACACTTCCCATCCAGCTCCCTGCTTGTGGCCTGGGAAAGTAGTTGAGGCCGGCCCAGAGCACTGGGACCCTGCACCCACGTGGGAGACCCGGAAGAGGTTCCTGGTTCCTGGCTTCGGATCGGCGAAGCACCAGCTGTTGCAACCACTTAGGGAGTGAATCATTGGATGGAAGATCTTCCTCTCTGTCTCTCCTCCTTGCTGTAAAAAAATGTATTTTTATTGCAAAGTCAGACATACAGAAAAGAGGAGAGACAGAGAGGAAGACCTGATGATTCATTCCCCAGGTGAGCGCAATGGCCAATCCGGAGCCAGGAGCCAGGAGCTTCCCCCAGGTTTCCCACACAGGTGCAGGGTCCCAAGCTTTGGGCCGTCCTGCTTTCCCAGGCCACAAGCAGGGAGCTGGATGGGAAGCGGGGCTGCTGGGATTAGAACCAGTGCCCATATGGGATCCCAGCGCATTCAAGGTGAGGACTTCAGCCTCTTAGGCCACCGTGCCAGGCCCTGAAACTACCTTTCAAATTAAAAAAATAAATTATTTTTAACATTACAAAGTTGAGGGGAATGCAAACCCAATTGGGCCTCTGGTTAGGGTGAGAAGGACTGAGGTTAAAAAAACAAACAAAAAAGCAGGCAGGCCTGGCACAGTAGCCTAGTAGCTAAAGTCCTCATCTTGCATGCACCAGGATCCCATTTGGCTGCCAGTTCATGTCCCAGCTGCTCCACTTCTCATTCAGCTCCTTGGCTTATGGGTTGGGAAGGCAGTGGAGAATGGCCCAGTGCCTTACGACCCTGTACCCATGTGAGAGACCTAGAAGCTCTTCAGCTTTGGCCATTACAGCCATCTGGGGAGTGAACCAGTAGATGAAAGATCCTTGTCACTTCTCTCCCCATAAATCTGCCTTTCCAATAAAAATAAGTATATCTTTTTAAAAAATCTTATTTTAAATTTATTGACTTGGAAGGCATAGATTGGATGTCTCCTTTCAGGTGACTTCCCATCTCTGCCAGCAGGTGCTTTGGCCTTTCCTATTTCTACTTCACTTGTTTACTTTGCAAATAAAACTTCTGTGTCTACAATCGGGAAAAAAAAATCTTCCATCCACTGGTTCACTCCCCTCAATGGTTACACAAAGGCCAGGGGCCAGGCCAGGAATGAGTGAGGCTGAAGTCAGGAACCCCAGCCCAGTCTCCCATGTGGGTGACCGAGGGCCAAGCATTCAAGCCATCATCCACTGCCTCCCACGCACACTGGTGCTGGACTGGAAGTGCCAAGTGGCCAGCACTTGCACCAGGTACTCTGATGTGGGTTGCAGGTGACACTATGCCACTATTGCCAGCCTGGGTCCCCCATTCCAGTGGCCCTAGACCCACAGCAGGAGTGTCGGGGAGGCCCACACCCAAGCGGACAGGAGGGCCAGCTCTACCCAGCAGTCCCCAGCCACCCTTCAGGCTTGATGGTTGCACTGTGAGGTCAGGCCCTTCCAGGTCAGACTCGTGCCCCTGCAGCCTCACTCACCTGTGCAGATCCCAGTGCTCAGACTGGCTGCTGGGCTAACTCCTGGTGGTTCTCAGATTATGTTCCATGGAGCCCCAGAGCTAAGGGGTACAAGCTCTGCCACCACTGACACCCCTCACATCAGAGCAGCTCTGGTTCACTTTTTTATTTTCATGTTTCATACATATATGAAGAACAGCTTCTCAGGTTTAAGAAAATTTTTAAGTGCCCCCTGGACAAGACCACACAGAGAGCTGACAAGCTGTGGCCCTTGGCTCATTTCTGAAATGGCAGGTGCAGTTCCCCCACCCAGCATGGGGGAGAGCCAAGTAGGGCCCAGCAGCTCTGGGCCTGGGACTTCCCCCTGGCCAGTGCTGGTCCCTGCCTGGCCTCTCTGGCCTGGCCTCCATGCTTAGCAGCCCTGCACCTGCAGGCGGTCCCCTGGGTGCAGGATGTGCTGCAGCAGCCCGTTGACCACATCCAGCGTCTCATCCCGCTCCAGCACAATGTCGTAGGCATCCAGGTAGCGCTCACGCTGCTCTTCTACCTGGCAGGAGCAAGGGGAGGGGAAGACTGCATGTCCCCAAAGTGCTTGGCCCTCTTACCTCACTCTCAAGTGCCTGGGACTGGAGAGTAGACTCGTGGGCAGAACCTCCCCACCCCACTTTGGCTCCCTTTGAAAAGCTGAGGGGCTTTAGAGTGACACAGGGTCGGCCCTTGGCAGATGCAGACAGCGGACAAGGCATGCCAGTCAGCCCTGGGGTCAAGGCTAGAAGGGCAGTAAAGCACATTGAAGCAAACACCCAGACGTCACTGACTCACTGAGCTCTCACATGGCTCGTGCATGCATGTGTGTGTGCATGCAGGCTCCAGCTCAGGGAAGTTTCCATCCTGTCTGTGGTCCCTTCCTGCCCTTTCCTTCCCTAAAGCAGGCATCTCTCATTTCTCAGGAACTAAGACACAGAGGTCCAGCAAGCACCCTAAACCACCCAGCTGCCAAACCTCCTGCCCGTTTCCTCTTCCTCAAAGAACTACTGTAAAGATTAGGCTAGCGCCTGAGGCTGATACCTACTGAGCTGCAAGCAAGTCACTCTCAGAGATCCTGGTCAGGCCATATGGGGTGTGCACAGCTGCCATGTGCCTCACACTTGAACGTGGTGCTGAGCACACATGAGAACCCAGAAAAACAGGCCACCCGGACAGGAAGCCCCGGCCCTGCCCACCTTGTCATTCAGGAAGCCTATCTTGAGGATGTTCTGCACGTCAGGGGCCCCCTCGGCCATGGTGAGGTCCCCCATGGAATCTCCCAGCAGGAGGATGTTGGTTCTGCCCTGGAGCTTCTGGAAGTAACCAGAGTTCTCACACACGGAGCTGTTCTTGTTGTACGTGTGGATGAGCTGGCCCTTGAAGCCCCTCAGGAAGCCCTAAATATTTGAGACAATACACAGAAGCGTTGTCACTGTCGTGGAGGACAGAAATTCCTGGAGCCACAGGAAGTGCCCCACTCTCACTCTCACTCTAGTCTTACACTGAGGTTGGTCAACCAGGTGAGGGTGGGACTGGGCCTGTCTTGGAAGTGTCCCTGGGATCCAGCCTCAGCCAACCACGTCCTGTGCTATGATGAGCAGAGTCATGTGGCCACAACCCACATCGAGGGGCACACATAGGTGCTCAGCTGTTCGGAACATGTCTTAGCCATAGGCGCCAGCCAATGCAAACTCCAGCCACTGGTTTTGAGGGGAAGTCAGGATGCAGGTGAGCTGCAGCTGCCCACTGCTGGCTCTAAACAAGCCGTGGTTCTTCAGCCTCCAGGGTGACGACACGGGGTCAGGACAGCCTGTGCCCACCAGGTACCCGTGGCAGTGAGCCAACTGCTCGCCAAGCACCAGAGAAAAGGTCCCTTGAAAACAACCCATAGAGAAGAGCCGGGAAGCGAGGTGTGAGTGAACGAGCTCTCCCCACCGCGCCCTGCTCAACTGGAGGATTCCCAGCCCCATTCCCCAGGCAGCAAAGTGGAGTTTCACTCACTTCTTCGTCAAAGTCCATGTAGTTGGACACAATGTGGACGTTGGGGTGCAGCACGTTCATCTGTCGGATAATCTCTTCCAGAATGTCCCCAATGCCCGCTGAGAAGATGAAAAGCGGGATATTGTCCTGGTAGAGTGTGTGGAAGAACGTCTTGTAGCCCTCCCTAGGGAGAGAGCAAGGGACTTGGAACTGGTACCACCCCACCATAGGAGCTCCTACCTGGGGGAGATATTTTGCTGTTTGTTTTTTTCAAAGGTTCATTTCTTTCTATTTGAAAGGGAAGAGTTGGGCCCAGCGGCATGGACTAGTGCCTAAAGTCCTCACCTTGAATGCACTGGGATCCCATATGGGTGCCGGTTCTAATCCCGGCAGCCCCACTTCCCATCCAGCTCCCTGCTTGTGGCCTGGGAAAGCAGTCGAGGATGGCCCAAAGCTTTGGGATCTTACACCTGTGTGGGAGACCTGGAGGAAGTTCCTGGCTTCTGGCTCCAGATCGGCACAGCACCGGCCATTGCGCTCACTTAGGGAGTGAATCATCAGACAGAAGATCTTCCTCTCTATCTCTCCTCCTCTCTGTATATTGACTTTGTAATAAAAATAAATGAATCTTAAAAAAAAAAAAGAAAGGAAGAGTTACATCTATCTGCTGTTTCACTCCCCAAGTGGTTGCAATGACTAGAGCTGCTGAAATCCAAAGCCAAAGAGCTAGATGCTTTTTCTGCATTTCCCATGTGGGTGCAGGGGGTCTAACACTTAAACCATCCTCTGCTGCTTTCTCAGGCACAGTAGCAGAGAGTTGGCTTAGAAGTGAAGCAGCCAGAACTTGAACTGGTGCCCATGTAGGATGCTGGTGCTGCAACTGGAAGCTTAACATACTATGTCACAGCAATGGCCCCTCCTTTTTTTCCCTTTTAAGCATTCTGCAGTGAGGCATAATGCCTGTACAAGGAGTGATTCGTGTATGAGTGCCAGCTGTTTAGCTGAATCAGGGTTCACATGTGCACACACCCATGCAACTATTGGAAGGTTACGACTCCCACACACCCCGTCGGTGCTACCCTTACTGACTTGGATTTTGTATCATTGCTGAGTAGCTCTGCCTGTCCGTGAATACATTTAATTAGACTCACACAGAGAATATATTGCTTTGCATCTGGCTAATTAAGCTTTTATTTAAAAAAAAATTTTTTTTTAAAGTCAGATATACACAGAGAAGGAGAGACAGAGAGGAAGATCTTCCGTCCAATGATTCACTCCCCAAGTGGCCATAATAGCCAGTGCTCTGTCGATCCGAAACCAGGAGCCAGGAACTTCTTTCCTCCCGGTCTCCTACGCGGGTGCAGGGTCCTTATGCTCTGGGCCATCCTTGACTGCTTTCCTAGGCCACAAGCAGGGAGCTGGATGGGAAGCGGGGCTGCCGGAATTAGAACTGGCGCCCATATGGGATCCCAGCACATTTAAGGTGAAGACTTTAGCCTCTAGGCCATGGCGCTGGGCCCTGGCTAATTAAGTTTTTAAAAAGTTTATTTATTTTGGCCTGGCACAGTAGCCCAGTGGCGAAAGTCCTCATCTTGCACATACCAGGATCCCATAAGGGCACTGTTTCTAATCCCAGTGGCCCCACTTCCCATCCAGTTCTCTGCTTGTGGCCTGGGAAGGCAGTCAAGGACAGCCCAAAGCCTTGGGACCCTGCACCTACGTGGCAGACCCAGAAGAAGTTCCTGACTTCTGGCTTCAGATCAGCTCACCTCCAGCTGTTGAAGTCACTTGGGGAGTGAATCATCGGACAGAAGATCTACCTCTGTGTCTCTCCTCCAATAAATAAATCTTTTTAAAAAATTATTTACTAATTTGAGAGGCGGAGTGACAAAGAAAGAAACACAGAAAAAGAGCTCTTACAACCACAGGTTCACTCCCTGCATGGCTGAAGCCAGGAGCCTAGCACTTAACCAGCTGCACCACGACACCGGCCCATGACTGCCTTATTTTATTTGATAAAACGGTGTGATTTATCTGGGTTTTGCCCTTCTTGAGTAATTCACTGTTTCTCACTGCTGTGCAGTGTTCTTCTACCATACCATCAATCAGGTGGCATCAATGCCCCGTGCTGGCTCCTCATGCTCCTCTCCTTGAGCAGTCCCCGAGGAGAGGGGCTGCTGAGGCAGAAGGCATGTGTGTTTTCATTACTTCTTACAGAGCCAGGCAGTCCCCGTGCCTGCCCTTGGCAGGCCTGCAGGCACTTGGTGGGCCTGCACACACACACATCTCAGTTCCCCTGGCTTCTCTGGAGCTGCCTCAGCAGGACATAGAATCTTCAGGCACAGGTCCCCATATCACCTCCTTTCTCGATGAGAAATGAGGCTCCGGCAGACAGAGCTGTTTGAGGAAGGCGAGTGTCCGAGGTCCAGCCGGGCAGAGGTTGTGTCTGTGTAAGGACCACAGGGCCACCAAGCCGCCCCCATCGTGAGCAATAAGCCAGATGCTGCTATCCTAGGGCCATTGGCGTGATGCAAGTTAAACTGCTGTGTGTTATGATGGCATCCCATGGTGGAGTGCCGGTTCAAGCCCTGGCTGCTCTGCTTCTGATCCAGCTCCCTGTTAACGTACCTGAAAAGGCAGCAGAAGATGGCTCATGTGCTTGGGCCCCTGCCACCCATGAGGGAGACCGTGAGAGAGCTCTGGGTTCCTAGCTTCAGCCCGGCCCAACACTGTTGTGGGCATCTGGGCAGTGACCCTGCAGATGGATGATTTGTCAGCCAGCAGGATGCTGCAAGTACAGTGGCCTCTGCACCTGCGGCCATCCAACCGGTCCTGGACTGAAAGTGTTTGGAGAAGTGGCAGTGTCTGTACCACACATGCATCGGCTGCTTTCTCATGATTACTCCCTGAATGGCAGGGCAACTACTCACACAGCAGTGTCCCCGTGCCGGACACCCCCAGTCAGCTAGAGAGGCCTGACTGTATTGTAGATAAGGAAAGCGGGCAGCGTGACTCCGGTGTCTGTGGGAGAGCTGACCCCAGTGGGTCCTGAGGGATGGTGTGATGGAACACGATGCTTGCGGGTCAGAATCCTCACCTGAGCACTGCGGTGGACTCCCGCACCACCTGTGCGATCTGGCTCTTCCGAATCCTCTGCTGACACAGCAGATTGTGGGCTTTGGTCCACCTGGAAACACACATCCCAGGAAACCCCAAAATTCCAATCACTCAAATAGAAGAGCAGTTCCCCTTTAAAAAGCCCCTGTGACAACGCCAACAGTGGAGGCCTTACCCTTCTTCCCCAAAGCCACTTCCAGAAGGACTCAGGCTACCCTTAAAAGGAAGAGCATCAGGGGCTTAGTGCTGTGGCATGGCAGGCAGGGCACTGCTCAGCATGTCAGCATCTCATAGAGAAACGCGGCTTCAAGTCCTGGCTACTCTGCTTCCAGCTCAGCTCCCTGCTGACGTGCCAGGGAAGACAGTGGAGGATGGTCCAGATGCTTGGGCCCCTCTGACCCAGCCAGGAGACCTAGATGGAGCTCCAGGATCCCGGCTTCTGTCTGGCTCAGCCCTAGCTACCACCATCATTTGGGGAGTGAACCAGAGGATGTAAGGTCTCTCTTATTCTCTTTTGCTCTGTCTTTCAAGTAAATGTATAAATACTTTAAAAAAAAGTGTGAAAGCAGCACAACAGACAAGAGGCAGGCAGGTGGTGGCAGAGGCCAAAGTTCTTCCTGCAGGACTCTGCTCTGAGGACGAGGGGCCTTGCCTGATGTCGGTGTCCACAGGAGCACACTGTGGCCTGAAGGCTTCCCCCGCAAGTCCACATGCTGAAAACCTGATCCTCAATGCAACGGTGCCAATGGGTGGGGCTTAACAGGAGTCACCTGGGGCATGGAGTGCCACTTTAATGACTGGAATAATGCCTTCATCATGGGAGAGAACTCCTTATCAAATGATAAGGACAGCCCCTCATGCTATCTTTCTTTTTTTTTTTTTTTTAACAGATTGATTTGAAGCAGAGTTGATGAAAGAGAAAGAGCTCTTCTGTATACTGGTTTGCTCCCCAAACGGCTTTAGTGATCTGGAACTCCATCCAGGTCCCCTGCCTGTTCTGGGTGTGTTAGCAAGAAGCTGGATTGGAAGCAGAGCAGCCAAGACTCCAACAGGCATTCCAATATAGAACACCAGCATCGTGGGTGACGGTTTGGCTCACTGGGCCACAATGCCTGCCCCGTCTCAGCCTCTGTGCCTTTCTAGCACAGGATAGGTCACCCAGAAAGGCCTCACCAGAAATGGGTTCTTGAATCTGAACTTGGCCACTAGAGCAGATGCCAGTACATTTTTGTTACAAATTATCCTGCCTGCCATGTGCTACTGTAGTTAGACTAAGAAACGGTCATTTGCCCAGAACATTCACCTTCTAACTTCTTCCAGAGACAGTGGGAGGACCTCCACTTCTACAGCAGCCACCTGTGGCCCACGCTTACCTGGGTGGCTGGACTTAATAGTGGTGCCAAGGTCCTGACCTCAATGGGTACGGGATCCCACCAGTTTGACGAGGCTCGCCCCTCCCAGCCCCACAGACTTTAGGCTCCAGGAACACCTCCTCTCTACCAGCACTTACCATTCTACCATGTGAGGGAACTTTTCCTTGACAGTCCGGTGAGGGTCAATCTCAATGGGGTAATAGTGGTGAAAGAGTGACGCAAGCTGAAACAGGCAGAGGGAGAGACAGACCCTTAGTCCACAGCAGCTTCTCCCGAACCTGAGCAACGGCTCAGCAAGAGGAGGCAAACGGCCCAGGTCACGCCACTGCAGGTGCTGGGACCGGTATGCATTCCGCCAGAGCTCACCGGGGAATAGCGCCAGCAAGCCTCACTCCCTCCCCACACCCTAACGCCCACCCACAGGGACAAGGTCTAAGTATCTGTGATAGAAGGTGCTTTTGCATCTCCCTCGTCCCACCTGGCCTCTGTTGTTGCTGTCAGCTCAGTTAGTACAACACGGGCTTCCCCAGCCAAAAGTGACTTAATGCTGCCTTTTCCAAAATGTGGCTGGCAAGGTGATCTTAGTAAATGGATGAACGCCATTCATTCTGATGGTTTTGCATTTATTTTCATGTGTGTCAGGAATAGAAAACAAGGACATCACACATGCTTTCATAAGGTTGCCTTTGCTGACACAGTTGTGTAGCAGGTAAAGCTGTCCCTACAGTACTGACCCCTCATAGACACTGGCTCATGCTGGCTGCTCCACTTCTGATCCAGCTTCCTGCTAAAGTGCCTGGGAAAGCAGCAGAAGATGGTCCAAGTGCACCCATGGGCTAGATCTGGAAGAACTTCCTGGCTCCTGACTTTGACAGGCCCAGCCTCAGCCCTGGAGCCATTTGGGGAATGAGGCAGTGGATGGAAGAGCTCTCTCTTTCCCCACCTATTTTCTCTTTCTCTAACTCTGCCTTTCAAATAAATTTATTTTCAAAAGTTGTTTTTCTTTGCTTTTTAATTATGCTTTTTTCTAAAAAGATGTATTTATTGAAAAGGTAGAGTGACAGGAAGAGTCAGAGATATTGGCTCACTTCCCAAACAGCTTCAGCAGTCAGGGCTGGGCCAGGTCAAGCCAGGAGATGGGCACTCCATTGTGGCTGCCCACAGGTACGGGAGGAGCCTGAGTACCAAGGCCATCTCCCTCTGCCCCCTAGGTGCACTGGCAGGGGGCTGGATCGGAGCCAGAGCAGCCACTCACACTAGAGCGCTAACATATGGGATAGCAGCATGGCAAGTAGCAGCTTGAACCCAGCGCATAGTGCCACCCCTCAACTTTTTCTTTTTCAACTTCAGAGGACTTTAGCTACTAGGCTACCATGCTGAGATAATAACTATCTGACTTTTGGAGTTGTTGAAGTTAGAGGACCTAACACTCATGTCTCAGTCATTCCAGGGCTGGCAGGACACTTAACATCTTATTCCAAGTACTGATTACCACATTGTCCCAGCCAATAGGGAAAAGCTGTTTTAAAAGATATTTCAGAGCCCATAATGGCAGACTAGTGGCTAAAGTCCTCGTCTTGGATGACCGGGGATCCCATATGTGTGCCAGTTCATGTCATGACTGCTCCACTTCCCATCCAGCTCCCTGCTTGTGGCCTGGGAAAGCAACAGAGGATGGCCCAAAGCCTTGGGTTCCTGCATACGTGTCGGAAACATGGAAGAAGTTCCAGGCTCCTGGCTTCAGATTGGCTTAGCTCTGGCCGTTGTGACCACCTGGGGAGTGAACCAGTGAACGGAAGATCTGTCTGTCTCCTTCTCTCTCTCTGTAATTCTGACTTTCCAATAAAAATAAATAAATCTTTAAAAATAATAATATCTATATTTTAAAGATTTACTTTTATTGCAAAGTCAGATATACAGAGAGGAGGAGAGACAGAGAGGAAGATCTTCCATCCACTGATTCACTCCTCAAGTGTCGACAACAGCCAGAGCTCAGCCGATCCGAAGCAAGGAGCTTCTTCCGGGTATCCCACGCGGGTGCAGGGTCCCAAGGCTTTGGGCTGTCCTCGACTGCTTTCCCAGACCACAAGCAGGGAGCTGGATGGGAAGTGGAACAGCCAGGACATGAACCGGCACAACTGTGGTATCCCAGTGGATGCAAGGCTATTGTGCCATCTCCTACTGTTTTCCAAAGCCCATTGGCAGGGAGTAGAGCAACCAGGACCCGAACCAGCCTTCTGCTGGCATCACAAACAGCAATTCAGCCTGCAGCACCGCCGCACTGGTTCATCTTAAACACAGGAAGACCATATCAAACTCAGCATACAACACAGCCATTTCTGAAACATCTGTGCTCTGTGGTCTGCATCCTGGAATGAGACTGCAGGCCAACTACTTCTGAGTAGAGAAGTAAGCCTACCTCTTTGCGACACTCCTCACTGATGATCCTACTGTTATCCAGAATATCTGGAAAAAAACAAGACCATTACCCCTTGGATGCCGTCATCCCATCCAGTCCAACAAAGCAAGCTGATGGAGTGACTTACTGTAAGATGAAGGGCATCGCTTTCCGTTATAGGAAAACCGACTCAAGGTCATGTCAAAATCGGAAATCACCTAGAAGCAAAAGAGAAGACAGGCCTAAAAAGGTATCTTCTCTGGAGGCGCAGCCTGTGCAGAGAGGGAGTGCGGTGGGACCAAGTGAAGGCTAGAGGTTGCTCTAGCTCAGTGGCACCCAGGCCCACAGGCTCTTCCCCAGGTTGTCTCCCCCTTCTCACACAGCCTGGTTGGCAGTTGGAGAGAGGATGCTACCCCCGTGAGGTTGGGACGCCCTCCTCCCCGCCAGCTCCGGACATTTTGCTCTGCCAAGGCAATCACAGCAGCGGGACTTGAAATCCAACAACCCTACAGAAGGCTACTTTTTAAGCTGATAAAGACGGTATGATCCCCCAAGGATGCTGTTAAGTATCCAACGTGCCTCCAGACACTCCGACCCAAGTGGCCGGGAGACGCAGGGATGCTAAGCGAAGCGGGAAGGGACACAGCACGCCCTCGCTGTACCTGCAGTCGGTCTCCCCCGCCACGGCGGAGGGCGCTCACGATCTCCTGGACCCGCTCGGGCTGCCGCATCAGGACCGTGGCCTTCCTCAGGGCGCTCACCTGTTCCGGGACCCGAGAGAAGCGCTGACCCCGGCGCCCCGCAGGGCCCGGGGGAGCCGGGGCTCGAACGGGCGCCCCTGCGAAGCGGTCTGTGCAGTGCGCAGAGCGGCTGCTGGCCGCGGCGACCCGGCCGGGGTCCTCCGAGCGCCCCGGGGACCCAGGTCCGCTCCCGCCTCACTCGGGACGTCCCCCTCACCCGCCTCACCTCCGCCATCGCGCTGCCCGCCTGCTGGGCTCTCGGAACAGAAGGAGGCGCGCGGCCGCACTGCGCAGGCGCCGCCTCCCACGGGCCGGGACGGGACCAAGGGGGCGGGGCGAGACTAGAGGGACGGGGCGGGGCCAGAGCGGGGCGGGACCAAGGTGTGGCGGGGCCGGGCCGGGCCGGGCCAATGGGTGGGAATGGGGCGGGGCCAGAGTGATGGGGCGGGGCCAGGGCGGGGCGGGGCGGGGCCAATGGGCGGGGGCGGGGCCAGGGAGGGCGAGAGAGCTGGCTGCGCCCGGCAAGCGCTATGCAAGCGCTATTCGCTGGAACAGATCAATTGGGGTTCTGTCCTTAAGGAGCATGAGGGCCTGAAAAGGGTGGGATTACGTGGTGGGGTGTCACGAGGTCTTGGGTGGAAACCTGCCAATCACTCTGGAGTAAAAACCCTGGCAAGAGTGGTCATTCCAGATTTAAGATTTTGCAGCTACAATAAACCTGTAGACCTGTATTTGGCCCAGTGGCTCAGTAATGAGTTGGAATGCTTGCAGCACATAAGTAAGTGTGTAGGTTCAAGTCCTGGCTGCACTCTCAATTCAATTCCTGTTCATGCATATCTTGGGAGGCAGCCATGGTAATTCATAACTGGTCCCTGGCACACATTTGGAAGACACAGGTTGACTTTTTTTTTTTAAGGCTTATTTATTTTTATGGGAAAGTCAGATACACAGAGAGGAGGACAGAGAGAAAGATCTTCCATCTGCTGATTCACTCCCCAAGTAGCCACAATGGCCAGAGCTCAGCCAATCCAAAGCCAGGAGTCAGGAGCTTCTTCTGGGTCTCCCATGTAGGAGCAGGGTTCCAAGGTTTTGGACTGACTTCGACTGCTTTCCCAGGCCACAGTCAGGGAGCTGAATGGGAAGCGGGGCTGCCAGGACACAAACTGGTGCCCATATGGGATCCTGGCACATGTGAGGCAAGGGCTTTAGCCAGTAGGTTACTGCACTAGGCCCACAGGTTGAGTTCTGCACTCCTGGCTTTGTCTGGGATAACCAGCACCCCCAACCACTACCTTTATATTTATTATTTTCTTTAATTAACAGAGAAAAACTTAAGAAGTTAGCAGCCAGGAGCTCCATCTAGTCTCCCCCATGAACATGTACCACCGCCAGCCACTCCCAGGTGCCTTCATCGGAGGCTGAACTGTCAGCAGAGGCAGGCCTGGGAGCAGGCACTCCAGGCAGTGACTTAGCCCACCAGCCACCTCAGCTGTGACTTCTGTAGCAGCTGGGGAGTGAACCAGAGAGCTGGAGTCATCTTGTCATTTGGTGTTGCCTCACAGATAAATCCACCAGGCAGGAAGAGGGCTGAAGGCAGCAGGGCGTGACTTCTGCCAAACACACAGAAGGTGCTTTCTCCAGCAGAAGACATAGCGGCTGGAGCCCCTGGACACCCAGGCCGGGAGGAGATGTGACCAGTCCTGCTTCTCCCCTCTCTCCAGACCTGGATTTCTCTGCACTCTGGGTGTGTGGAGCCACTGAAGGCCCCCAGCCACAGCACCCAGAACACCAACCTGGGTGACTCGAAATGTTCAATAGGAAGTGGGGTCCATAAAGACTCAGGGGATGTTGGTGGTTGCAGTTCTGCTCTAGGCTGAAGAGCAGGGGTGGAGGGGATGAAGGGGGGAGGGGGAAAGAAGGGGGCAAATGCAGCAGGGAAGGTTCCAGAACCTGAGCGCATAATCCTGGGAGTGATCTCACTGCCCGCCCAGGATTCTGGAATTTGGGCTCCCAGATGGGCCCTATATGAAAGATGTAGTAGGGAAAAGGAGCGACAGCTGGCTAAAGGGGCCCCCCCACAAGCCTCCCCAACCCCCTAGGAGAGCGGCCTCTCTCCGCTGGTCCCAGGGTGCCATGGAGATGGAGAGCACGGCGGCCTCCACACGCTTCCACCAGCCTCACATGGAGAGGAAGATGAGTGCGATGACCTGTGAGATCTTCAACGAGCTTAGGCTGGAGGGCAAGCTCTGCGACGTGGTCATCAAGGTCAATGGCTTTGAGTTCAATGCCCATAAGAACATCCTCTGTAGCTGCAGTTCCTACTTTAGGTATCTAGCAGGGTCACCCGAGGATGCTGAAGGGGGAACTGGGCTCATGTTCAGATCTTTTGCTCCATTCTCTGTTTCTCACTCCATCGTCTTTTTTTCTTTAAAAGCCAGAGAGAGCACGCGCACATCTCTCTGCTGTTTCACTCCTCCTGAAAGGGCCATTAACAACCAACAACTAAGCCAGGCAGAAGCCACAAGTTGGGAACTCTGTCTGGGTCTCCCGGGTGGGTGGCAGGGACCCAGGACCCTGGGCCAACATGGACTGGCTCCCACGGTTGGCACTAGCAGGAAGCTGGGTGAGAAGCAGATGGGGCTTGCACCAGGCAGCCCACAATGCAATGTGGGCATCCGAAGTGTCGATTTAAGCTGTGGTACTGAAAGCTCGCCACACAACTCCACCACCCCCATGCCTCACCATCTCAAACAGGGGCAGGAGGATCAATTATAACCAGGAGTGGCAGAACCCACAAGGGGCTAAAGGGGTAGTACGGAGGAAACATTTATTAGGAAAAAACCAAACATTATAACTTGGGAAGTAGGACTATTTTGTTCCAAGCCTAAAGAAAGATGTTTGCTAAATTCTCCTTGAGCTGGATGCTGGGCCAAGGCCACAGGGAGGAGCGGCTGGTGATGCTGGAACTCCGTCCCAGCCACTGGGCTGCCTTTGGGAGGCGAAAGCAGCCCTAAGCAACACCTAAGGAACAGGTGCTCCAGTGTGACTCACCTACACTGAAGAAGTTTGACTTCATTGTAACTTTTAGAAGTCCAAGTATTCTTTTTTTTTTTTTTAAGATTTATTTTTATTGGAAAGTCAGATGCACAGAGAGGAGAGGCAAGGAGAAAGATCTTCCATCCGATAATTCACTCCTCAAGTGACCACAACGGCCAGAGCTGAGACAATCCGAAACCACAGGAGCCTCTTCTGGGTCTCCCATGTGGTTGCAGGGTCCCAAGGCTTTGGGTTGTCCTTGAATGCTTTCCTGGGCCACAAGCAGGGAGCTGGATGGGAAGCAGGGCCACCGGGATTAGAACTGGTGCCCATATGGGATCCTGGCACATGCAAGGTGAGGACTTTAGCTGCTAGGTTACTGCACTGAGCCCAGTATATATATATATATATATTTTCTAACATATTTTTTAATTTATTTGTAAGGCAGAGTTACAGAGAGAGAAGGAGAGACACAAAAACAGTGGTTAGATGTCATGAAGTAGATGGCAATGCTTTAACTATGTGTGTGTTGTCAGGCCGGAGGGCCCTTTCATCGTTGTCAAGGGGAGTGCTAACCTTCTCTCCATTCATACAACACACAAGTAATATTTTATTTGTTTGTTTTCCCAACAATTTAAAAGTGTGGAAAACAGTATTAGTAACTTAGGGGCAATGTGAAAGAGGAATGGGGACTGAATTTAGACTGGCCCCAAGGCATTTTGGCTGAGAGGAGGAGTCTTGTCTCCAAGTGCTTGTGTCTTTAAATCTCCTAGAAAAAGGAGGAAAATGTGGGGGTACTTGGAAAGGTGAACTGAAACAGAAACTTGGGTGCAAAAAGAAATCGGAAATCACGCAGCTATAGTAGACACTTTCCATGAAGTCTTTGGAGACTCCTCGTATGCATGGAGTTAAAACTTTTGTGTCCAAATATACTTATCTTCTGATTCTGTTTTCCATGAACTTGCTTAAAGTGCCATCAGATTTTGGCAGGCCCACACTGGGCTCAATTCCTAAGAAAGTATACAGCTGGAACCAGCACAATGACTCAATGACTAAATCCTCGCCTTGCACGTGCTGGGATCCTGTTTGGGCACTGGTTTGTGTACCGGCTGCTCCACTTCCCATCCAGCTCCCTGCTTGTAGCCTGGGAAAGTAGTAGAGGATGGCCCAAAGCCTTGGGACCTTGCACCCATAATGGGAGACCCAGAAGAAACTCGTGTATCCTGGCTTTGAATCGGCTCAGCTTCAGCCATTGCAGCCATTTGGGGAGTGAAGCAGCAGATGGAAGAACTTCCTGTCTTTCTCTCTCTCTATAAATCAGATTTGCCATTCCAGTAAAAATAAATAAAAATTGTTTTCAAAACAATTTTTACCCACATCGCAAGAATATAGTAAATGATTGTGGAATGACAGCCATTTATTTGGTCAGCAATCATTTACTGAGTGCCTAGTTTTCGACTGGTACTACTTTGGGTATTGGAATGAATAAACAGATAAGCCTTCCTGTTCTCCTGAGGCTTACCTTCTACAAGGCGGACGACATGAGTACAACAGCCATCAGGTCATTATAAGTCCTGGGGCAGGGAGAGAAAAAAGGAAAGGGAGTGGTAAGTAGGCCAACTAAGTGACATTTGAGCAAAAGCCTCAAGGAGACAAGACAGTGAAGAATACAGGGACTCGGGGAAGCCTTTTACCAGAGGGAAGAACTGGCCAGAGCACCAGGGACCAAAGACAGAAGCCCCTCTGGTGTGTGCCAGGGAATAGCAAGGGGCTGGCAGGACTGGACCTGAGAAGGAAGGAGGGAGCAGGTGGGGCAAAGAAGCATCAGTGGCCCAGGGGGCAGTGGATTTTTGTGGCTCTTGCTTAGGACTTTGTCTTTCACCTGAGAAAGGAGGTCAGTGGAAGGCTTGGAGTGGAAGAGGAACAGACTTGGAAGAATTGCTCTGGCTGCTGGGATACAACATAAACTCGAGGTGTGAAGGGCAGAAGCA